TGTATTCTGGTGTCTCTATTGTCCTGTCCTCTAAAGTCTATTCATTTACACACACAATGTAATATAAAATGTATCACCAAAATCATCTTTTATCATTTGTCTTGGAGAATCGCAATAATATCGTATTTCAAATCGTGACACGAGGGTATCGTTACACCCTTACTATATTGACAAAAGTGTGTTGTTCATATCTATTCTTTCAGGCATATACAAGATCCAGCCAGTCAGAGGTTGACATGGAACAAGCCACCCAAAAGTGTCCTTATTATAAAGAAAATCAGAGACGCCAGTCTGCTACAGCCTTTCAAAGATCTCTGCGTTTTTCTGACACAGGTGAGAAGATGGTTCAGCGGAAAGCAGTGCTGATGATGATCTGCTGTTATTAGAGGTTCCCTCGCAATATTGCGATCTTCACGGCCATTGTATAGATGCAGAAACTGTGTCCGCTATGCACTGGTATGGCCGTATTTAAAAAATGCGTATTATACGCGAAATTGAGAGCAGTATACTGGATGAATTTGAATGAGCATCTTTGGTCTATCACTGATTGCATTAACAAAAATGCTTTTGTAAAGTGTTTCTTTGATTTGTACGGAGGCGTATTGCATTCACTTGAAGAAAAAAAATCTACTCTGTTTTTCTGAATTAACGAGTGAATTTTTCATGAGAAAAAAAATTGCTCGTTTTTTCTGTATTAATGAGTTAATTTTTCATCAGAAAAAAAATTTTGCTCTGTTTTTCTGAATTAACAAGTTAATTTTTCATGGATTTTTTTTTGCTCTGTTTTTCTGAATTAACGAGTTAATTTTTCATGAATTTTTTTTTGCTCTGTTTTTCTGAATTAATGAGCTAATTTTTCATGAGAAAAAAAAATTTTGCTCAGTTTTTCTGAATTAACAAGTTAATTTTTCATGGATTTTTTTTTGCTCTGATTTTCTGAATTAACGAGTTAATTTTTCATGAATTTTTTTTTGCTCTGTTTTTTCTGATTTAATGAGCTAATTTTTCATGAGAAAAAAAATATTTTGCTCTGTTTTTCTGAATTAATGAGCAAATTTTCATGAGAAAAAAAATATTTGCTCTGTTTTTCTGAATTAATGAGCAAATTTTTCATGAGAAAAAAATATTTTGCTCTGTTTTTCTGAATTAATTAGTTAATTTTTCATAAGAAAAAAAATATTTTGCTCTGTTTTTCTAAATTAACGAGTTAATTCAGAAAAACAGAGCAAAACTTTTTTTCTCAAAAAATTAACTCGTTAATTCAGAAAAACAGAGTAGATTTTTTTTCTCATGAAAAAATTAACTCATTAATTCAAAAAACAGAGCAATTTTTTTCTCATGAAAAATTAACTTGTTAATTCAGAAAAACAGAGTAGATTTTTTTTCTTCAAGTGAATGCAATACGCCTCCGTAGATTTGAGTAAAACCAAAGCGTAATGTTTCCTGACATCTGTTAATATTTGCTCTTTTCTCGTGTTGTGTTTGTTCCCTGCATGGCTTCTAGCAAAAAAACATGATTGTTTATGTGGAGAGAAAGGTCATTGAAGATCCAGCCATTTTGCTAATGAGAGCTTTGTGTCCGTCAAGAAGAACTTTTGCACTTTTAGAGAAGGTGAGGATTTATCCAAAAGTACTTTGTTATTATACCTCATGTAATTTGTTTGTGTGTGCGCTTCAGTGTGCATCGATTTATAATAGAATATTATCAAATTGTGTGCTGTCAGTCGAATATGTTTCCATGACTTTTACACAACCACGTAATGTGCCTCTTTAAAACCATTACATTTAAAGTCCCTCGGTAGTCAATCATTTTATCCTGTAAAACTCATATTTGATCAAGAAAATTGCATATTTAAATTTTTTTTCCCCCTTACAATAGCTTGAATGTAACTCGACACCCTTGCCTCATTTATTATAAGTGAGATTTAGGAATATGCAAATGAGCCCGCCTCACTCCCTCAGCTCTGAGATCTCACTGGACGATCACACGTTGATTGATCGATCACGATTGGTTTTACAAGGTGTGTTTGTGTTGTCAGAGAAACACCAGCGATTTCAAAGCGTGTTTTTGATTCACTGCAGTTTTAAGGAGGAAATACTCAGCAATGCTGTCCACTTATCAACTTACACACAGGTGTGTGTCTTAAAACATATTAAAAACACCACATAGACACATAAAACAACATTAGAAACTTGATTTTCACCACAGGGGACTTTAAACAGTTTATTCAAAGTAGCTCAACTACGGTATAATCGACCTTGAATTGACAGAAATAGGCTACATTTAGTTGACGACTGTTCTCCAATATTTAAGAAAACCATTGCAGTGATTCTAAAATCTGCTTAGGTTAGGACTTAAAAATAAGTGTTCCTGAGTGAAGATGCATGTGTAAAATTTACATGTGACATATTTCATAGATTATGATGACATTCCAATTGTGTCGACTTCATCATTTGCTTGGGAGGAGATGGGACTTTGCTGTACGCCTCCTCTCTTTTCCAGGTTTGAAAATCTGTTCTTAACTAATATAATATTGACAGAATAATGAGAATCTAAGTGTACTGACAAAAAAATGTGGTGAGTGAGTGAGTGAGGGAGTCAGTGAGTCAGTCAGTGAGTCAGTGAGTAAGTGAGTCAGTGAGTGAGTCAGTGAGTGAGTGAGTGAGTCAGTGAGTGAGTGAGTGAGGGAGTCAGTGAGTGAGTGAGTGAGTCAGTGAATGAGTGAGTGAGGGAGTCAGTGAGTGAGGGAGTCAGTGAGTCAGTCAGTGAGTCAGTGAGTCAGTGAGTGAGTGAGTGAGTCAGTGAGTCAGTGAGTGAGGAGTCAGTGAGTGAGTGAGTGAGTCAGTGAATGAGTGAGTGAGGGAGTCAGTGAGTGAGGGAGTCAGTGAGTCAGTCAGTGAGTCAGTGAGTCAGTGAGTGAGTGAGTGAGTCAGTGAGTGAGTGAGTGAGTCAGTGAGTGAGTGAGTGAGGGAGTCAGTGAGTGAGTGAGTGAGTCAGTGAATGAGTGAGTGAGGGAGTCAGTGAGTGAGGGAGTCAGTGAGTGAGTGAGTCAGTGAGTGAGTGAGTGAGTGAGTGAGTCAGTGAGTCAGTGAGTGAGGGAGTGAGTCAGTGAGTGAGTGAGTCAGTGAGTGAGGGAGTCAGTGAGTGAGTGAGTGAGGGAGTGAGTCAGTGAGTGAGTGAGTCAGTGAGTGAGTGAGGGAGTCAGTGAGTGAGTGAGTGAGTCAGTGAGTGAGGGAGTCAGTGAGTCAGTGAGTGAGTGAGGGAGTCAGTGAGTCAGTGAGTCAGTGAGTGAGTCAGTGAGTGAGTGAGTGAGTGAGGGAGTGAGTGAGTCAGTGAGTGAGGGAGTCAGTGAGTGAGTGAGGGAGTCAGTGAGTCAGTGAGTGAGTGAGTCAGTGAGTGAGTGAGGGAGTCAGTGAGTCAGTCAGTGAGTCAGTGAGTGAGTGAGTGAGTGAGTGAGGGAGTCAGTGAGTGAGTGAGTCAGTGAGTCAGTGAGTGAGTGAGTGAGTCAGTGAGTGAGTGAGTCAGTGAGTGAGGGAGTCAGTGAGTGAGTGAGTCAGTGAGTGAGTGAGGGAGTCAGTGAGTCAGTGAGTGAGTGAGGGAGTCAGTGAGTCAGTCAGTGAGTCAGTGAGTGAGTGAGTCAGTGAGTGAGTGAGGGAGTCAGTGAGTGAGTCAGTGAGCGAGTCAGTGAGTCAGTGAGTGAGTGAGTGAGTCATGAGTGAGTGAGTGAGTGAGTGAGTGAGGGAGTCAGTGAGTCAGTGAGTGAGTGAGTGAGTGAGTGAGTCAGTGAGTGAGTGAGTCAGTGAGTGAGTGAGTGAGTGAGGGAGTCAGTGAGTGAGTGAGTCAGTGAGTGAGTGAGTGAGTGAGTGAGTCAGTGAGTGAGTGAGTCAGTGAGTGAGTGAGTCAGTGAGTCAGTGAGTGAGTGAGTGAGTGAGGGAGTCAGTGAGTCAGTGAGTGAGTGAGGGAGTCAGTGAGTCAGTGAGTGAGTGAGTCAGTGAGTGAGTGAGTCAGTGAGTGAGTGAGTGAGTGAGTGAGGGAGTCAGTGAGTCAGTGAGTCAGTCAGTGAGTGAGTGAGTCAGTGAGTGAGGGAGTGAGGGAGTCAGTGAGTGAGTGAGTCAGTGAGTGAGTCAGTGAGCGAGTCAGTGAGTGAGTGAGTTAGTGAGTGAGTGAGTGAGTCATGAGTGAGTGAGTGAGTGAGCGAGCGATTCAGTGAGCGAGTCCAGTGAGTGAGTCAGTCTCTGCAAACACTCACCCATTGTAAATATAAACCTTAAACAGGAGTTGACGTAAATGTAATCGTCTCTCTTGGTTAATCATGGCATCTGTAATCATAATCTTGATTATTATAATTTTCAATGTATTGTACATGCTCACCTTATGTTGTTTATGCTGCCAGAGATTGCAAACTCAAATTGAAATTGAGTGACTTCTTGTAGGTGTAGCTTTGTTACTGCAAATTGCAGTCACTGTGAACACCCTTTAAAAGCCTCAATTTAATTGTGTGTAGGAGAGTGTGCCTCCTGTCATGGCCTTCCACTTGGGTTCTCTGGGATTTCTTACACCATTTAACTTCGACACATACCAATCTCAGGTCAACCAGGTTATAGAAGGTAAGGCATTACACAGTAAGAGGACATCTGTTTTTTTACAGTTTATATTTGTATTTATATATATATTTATATTACAGACACTTTTCTCAGGTTCCAGGTTGTCAAAAGGGTCTGAGATATTGGACTTTCCCATATGGTTTTTCAATAATCTCTACACTTCTGCAGCTGTATTGTGCTTCAATGTATCGATTTATAGGAATGCTATTGCTCTTGTGTCCCAGTAGTGAGGTAAATTGCTTTATGAAAACTGCTGTACCTGGAACCAACAACACAAATCTGTTCAATCTAATAGATTTTAGAGTGATTTTCGAAGTTCAACATGTAAAATCAAATGGTTACACTTTATTCCAACTTTGCAACTACTAACCTGAAACCTAATGAGAGTTAGTTGACACGTAGTTGCAAAGTTACCTATAGTTAGAATGCCTAAAGTGGACTATTATAAAGTGTAACTGATCCGATTGTTTATTATGTCTTGTTTAGGTTCACACCGTCCCTCTTATCATGACTGGCAACCTTAGCTGTGTTTCAAAATCTAGTTCGCTGCCTACCTAGACAGCTGACCGCATTTATGCCGTGTTTTCTTGTTCTGTATGTAGGAAATTCTGCGATTATTTTACGCAGTCGTCTGCAAGTGAAGGTGGTGAAAGAGTGCAGAGAGAAGGGACCTGTGGAGGAATCGAGTTTAATCATCACTAACGGAGAGACTGAACCCAAACACAAAACTATGCAGTATCAAGTGAGTGCCACACTTACTGTTACAGTATAATACAGGGAATTACACTTCTTTTCCAGTACTCTGGTTACATTAACTGTTCAGTAGCTTCTTGCATTACATATTGATCTTTTCATTTTAAATGCAAATGAGCTGCTTCCAGAAGAGGGCGGAGCCTTTACAGCTTGTGCTTCGGATACTCCAGCAAAGCACATTTACATAGAAAGCAATGGACAAGTGAGATGAGAAAAACGTGTTCAGTGTTCATTGATACAGGATTGTGGGCGGGGACTGTTGACACAATGTATAGAAAACGCGAACGACTCATTTTGAGTCACTGTTTATGATTTCTGGAGAATATAATAAAAGGAGTGGGTGCTTTTTTACCATTATAGGGTGGTTGTGTACACACTGCTGTGCTGACACACATTTATGCTCAAACACCTTGTAAAAGTGATTTTTGCACACTAGGTCCACTTAATCCTTAATCTGATATCATGTTAATGTAGTCGACTTGAACAATGATATTCTTTACTTCAGATTGTTTATTTTTGGGCAGTTTGACACACAATTGTGTTTTATTTGTTGCTTTCAGATATGTTCATGTTGTGATGTTTTCTGTAAATGATAAATCTGTCTTCCTCCATCAGGTGCTGAATGAAGTTGTTGTAGACAGAGGTCCGTCGTCCTACCTCTCTAATTTGGACTTGTTTCTGGATGGTCACCTGATCACCACCGTTCAGGGAGACGGTTAGTGTGAACCAGTTAGTGTATTACTGTTATGCTTGGAAAAAACATTCAGGTGTTTTTATCTTTCTGTGTTTCCTGTAAAAAAAAATCCTTACTTCCTTAATGTATTAATTTACATTTGAAGTTCCCCTATTATGCTGTCCAAAAGTCTCCAGTTTTGTTTTCGAGTTTCCCGAGTTTGTCGCACAGTAGAGAATTACCGTATGGACGTGCCTCGCAGGCAATCTTTTACTGTCTAAAGTCAGTCCATGGCATAGATAGAAGCAAAATGACAAAATAACTAATCAGAATACTTACCAAAAGTTGCTTCGCCGTCTCTGTGCACGATTAAAATTTGTCTCGGCACAGATCGGTTTGCTCACGTGACATCTACGTCGCCAAGCTCAGTTTGAGCCTGCGCAGAACGCTTGGCTATCAGGAAGTGAGTGCCCATGTTGAGCTTCAGCTTCATTTCTTTTACTGTCTATGATTTTAACATGGGGGTTTATGGGATTGACTCTCTCTTGCAGCCGGTCTCTAGTGGACAGTTGATGAATTGCAGTTTAAGTCACTTCTATGTAGGGTTGGGTATCGTTTGAATTTGAACGATTCTGATTCCGATTCCTTGTTTCGATTCCGGTTCCCAACGATTCTTGATTTCGATTCTTTTAAGAGGCAGGGTCAAAAAAGTTTAGCTAACCTTGCTAACCAACGGTCTTTTTGAAGGAAATACTCCTTCTGTCACAAATACTTGTCACAAATTTTGCATTTTGCCGAGATTTCGCTAATTTTTAGAAAAGTGAAGCCACACTTTGGACCGCCGACGTAAGCTACTCATGTTCGACTCGCGCGGTTATGCCAACACTTCCGGTAGACGCTTCTTCGTTGGTGTCGTCCAGCGGTTTCTTCTCCCGCTCGGCGGACTGTGAATATCGAAACTAGGAATTGAAATTTTAACATTTGAACGATTCCGGGAAAAACGAAAAGTTAGTCCCGGTTCCAATCGATACTCGATTCTCGATACCCAACCCTACTTCTATGCCAAACTGTCAGTTTTGTCGAGTATCCTCATAAGAGCAGCCTTAAATGAGTTAACCAAAGTCTTAAATAAACGTAAAGTGTGAGAGAATGAGTGTGAGACCCGCGTCTCTGTCAGCAGCGGCTGCTCTTAAAGGGACAGCAGCCAAAAAAGCTTTCTGTCAGTAAAGTTCATCAAATAACAAAGAAAATGACTCACTGCTCTTGAATAAATAACTTTTGTAGCTTTAATAAGGATTAATATTTAATTTATAGTGTATGCAGTGCAGACTGTTTGATAACCTTATTCAATTTCTGTATATTCCTACCTATTGGACAGGAAGGGCACATAAATATAACATTTATTATTGATTTATGTGAGGAAAAAGTTATGCCGGTGGAGAAGCCTGAAACCCCTATAAATTATTCACTACAGAAAGTGAAAGTAAAATCATCTGACACTGCATGTTTCAAGCTGAATCTACTTTAACATGCTGTTATTTACATCAGTTATTTTCTTAATATTTCTATTGTGGACCTAAAGTAGTGAAAAGATTAACGAGAAGTACAACAAGTTGTTTTTGAAATGAGGAATAAGCTAATCTTACTGATCCTGAATTTTAGTTTTACATAAAGAGCTCCATTCAAGCTAATTTAAAGGCATGAAGATTATGTCGTTTAAATGCGTCACAACCGTTTATGTTCACTTAAAGTCATTAATTGTCTCACTTAAAACTCCTCTTTGATCACCAAAATGACATATTTAAAAGTTTTTTCCTTAAAATAATATTCATGCCTTAAAATATCTTGAATGTAACTCGACACCCTTGCCTCATTTAGTATACGGCGTTCTATAAATATGCAAATGAGCCCCGCCTCCACTCACCCAGCTCAAGAGATCCACTCGGCCAACATACTGAAGTAAACGCTGCACAATGGTATCGCTTTTTTACAATGTCGGACACATACCGACTGATTAGCCTTTTGCTTGACTATGTTATCAAACCGCTAATAATGTGTTGCTAATGAACACACACCATGCCGTTCGAGTCACACAGCAGTCTTATAAACATCAGTATACGAAACGCTTTTGAACAAGGCATATAGTATATAATAACATTGTAATATACATCACACCCTCTCTCAGGCGTGATCGTGTCGACTCCCACCGGAAGCACCGCATACGCAGTGGCAGCAGGAGCTTCGATGATCCACCCCAACGTCCCCGCCATCATGATCACACCGATCTGCCCACACTCCCTGTCCTTCAGACCCATCGTAGTGCCGGCCGGCGTGGAGCTCAAGGTGATCGGCCGCTCAGCCTGTGTGTCCACCACCTTAGATATGTATATAAAAGCTAGATGTGTTACGGCGGCGTTTCCATCGTCATCACGGCGGCCATCTTGACACAGGCAAGCTGATGTAAGATGAGTGGTCAGCACGAACACAAATACTCTTATCTCGTTTAAATCTTGACGGATTTACAAACATATTGGTTTCTTACAAACGTTATTAACGTGACTATAATTATCTGGATGATTATTTATTTATACACTTTTTATTCATCTCTGCCGTTTGTAACAAACCAAACCGTTTGAAAATCGGTAGAAAATTGAGCAAGTTATGGTCATTTAAATAGTACATGTACCATTAACACAATGTTACGAGTGAGCGAGCTGCCTGTGACAAGATGGCCGCCAGGTGCAGACGTCGACCTCCATTGGCCAGCAGCGTGGACGAGATATCTAGCCTTTATATACTTGTAGATATCTATGTCCACCACCTGTCAATCACATAAATAACACACTATTATGGGTTATGTTTTTTGAAGCCTGATAAATGTTGTAAAACATTGATAGCTTTCAGTGACACTGTAATGTTGAATGGCTATAATTAATGTTTAAAATGGGGTGAAGGAATCATTTTCATAGAGACATCGTGTAGCTCAGCGATACTGGCCTTCATTCATAAAAAAGATGCCATTAGGGCGAGACGCCACAGGTGAATAGGGTAATTTTTTTTAACTAGCAGATATCACCATGAAACTTTCCCAGTTGATTACCTACATTAAGATGAGAAAAAAATATATTACAAGTTTTCTGGAATTTAATGTTTAAATATGCAAATGAGGCATTGTCTAAGTAAATATGCACTAATTTACATATATTTTTAAAAATGAAATCTGAGTATTGGATAAAGCCAGGTTGAAAATTCTTTTTTCATTGTGTTCACATATTAGATGAGAAAAAAAATGACAGAGGGATTTATGGATATCTACTTTTGTTATCCTGTAAATCAGAATATACTGCCAATTGCCTTTTGTTGCCAAATGTTTTTTGGAATAAAATGTTATATAAATCAGGCTAGGAATAATATATTTACAAATCCCTCTGTAAATGTCTTCATAATATAATTAGGTACAAGACTGGAAAGTCTGGTGTATATAGGCGCTCCTGAAGTGGAGATTTCGGACTTAAGTCATTTTGAGTAAACTGGCTTTTAAAGATTTAGCATCAGCCAATGAGATCGCGCATTTAGAGTTAAATCCCCCCTTTACTTTCACGATTGGTTGCTGATAAAAAGGAAATGACCATATTTGGATCCGACAGTGTTGTACAGGAGAAAGAGAGCTAAATGTGATGACAGGGCGCAGATCGCGATCGCTGAGCAGCAGGACGATTTATAACGACAACTTTTGAAGAATTTATGAGAAAACTACAGACGCAAACAGACAAAGTGTAGTAAAATAAAGACCTAAATGACTTTTTTTCACCACAAGTCTGAAAGAAGACAAATATTGTTATTGAAGCCAAATATCCCAAAATCTCAGAATTGACCAGTGAAAAAAAACAACAACAATGTTTTTGCCTGCCGTGTCTCGCCTTAATTAAACAAGCATTTAAAAGTCTTTATGTTGTCTCTACATTAATTTGGAGATTAACTATGACATTATTATATTATTAAATGTATTTAAAAAGGGTTTTAATCGCAGAAAAATAATAGTAATAATGTAAATAATTTTTTCCCACTTATTTTAAGCAGTTTTGTTAAATAAAACCATATGATTACTTGAATTAATACTTCATTTGAACCATTTATTGGCCCGTTGTTATGCTTATTTTAAGTCATTTTTAGGGCTTTGACTGAACCCTGATGTTGTGATTTCAGATTATGCTGACCCGTGATGCCAGAAACACGGCCTGGGTGTCTCTCGATGGAAGGAAACGCCAGGACATTGCATACGGGGACAGGTACGGGACTTCAGCTTCCACCACGGGGTGTCAACATGCAAATCTCACAAAAGTTTGTCCACAGAACAATAGGATCTACATACACCATTTCACTTTAAGAAGTGTTTGCTCAACATTGCAACGCTGCATATTTAACCAGCTCCTGACGAACACGTTAATTATTATTTTTACTGTCTCTGCAAGGCTTTTGTCCATCAAACACATTCAAATTTACAATCTTCTTTGACCCTGAGATTCTTAGATTAAGTCCCCCTGTAGTCCATCATTTTATCGCTTAAAACTCATCTTTGATCACCAAAATGACATGTATAAATGTTTTTCCTAGAAAAAAAAAATGGCTTCATGCCTTAAAATATCTTGAATGTAACTCGACACCCTTGCCTCATTTATTATATGCAGCTCTATGAATATGCGAATGAGCCCCGCCTCCACTCATTCAGCTCAGAGATCCACTGGTTGACGATCACACGTTGATCTGATTGGTTACAAGGTCGTTTGTGACGTGTTTTTGAGACTGCAGTTTTAAGGAGGAAATACTCAGCAATGCTGTCCACTTATGAATTTACACATGGTGTGTGTTAAAGCATATTAAAAACACCACATACACACATAAACAACAATATATATATATAAAAATTAAGTTCACAGTTCTCTGATATCAGTTAATGGTCACATGATGTGGGTTTTAAACAAATAACTAAAAAAAAGTCAACATTTAATGCACTTCATGTTGTTGATAACAAAGAATGGAATATATGTTTTATTCTCTTTGTATTTTTATAAATATGGTACAATATCCTATTCAAATCGATGTGATAGACGAGTTACGTCAAAAGTAATCAAAAAGTAGCCAAATTATATTACCTTTAAAGTCCCCCTGTGGTGAAAATCCAGCTTTTATTGTTGTTTATGTGTCTGTGTGGTGTTTTTAATATGCTTAAACCATGTGTAAGTTGATAAGTGGACAGCATTGCTGAGTATTTCCTCCTTAAAACTGCAGTGAACCAAACCGCTGAAATCGCTGGTGTTTCTGACGTCACAAACCACCTTGTAACCAATCAGATCAACGTGTGATCGTCAACCAGTGGATCTCTGAGCTGAGGGCTTGGAGGCGGGGCTCATTTGCATAGTCATAGAACCGCACATACTAAATAAGGCAAGGGTGTCGAGTTACATTCAAGATATTTTAAGGCGGATTTTTTTTTTTTTTTTTTTTTTTTTTAAGGAAACACTTTAACATGACATTTTGGTGATCAAAGATGAGTTTTAAGGAATACATTTGACTACAGTGGTCATGTAATTTGCAATCTGTAATGACTACATTTTCTATGTAATCTACCAAGTAATGTTGATTAGCATGTTTTTACATCACGTCTGGTTAGGATATGATGCAGCAGACTGACACGTGTGTTTTCCTCTCTGCTTTCTAGTATCACCATCACGTCTTCATGCTTCCCTGTTCCTTCCATCTGTTTCCGAGATCCGGTGAACGACTGGTTCGAGAGTCTGGCTCAATGTTTACACTGGAACGTCCGCAAGAAACAGAGTCATCTGAGCTCTGAGGAGGAAGACTTCTGAACACATTCCCAACACAAGTCCTTTTAACAGGCTTTTAACAGTCAAACCGCTCCCATCTCATTATTACAAAATTATATTTTGCTTAAAAAAATCGACTATTTTTAGGACCATTACGATTTTTTGCATTGTGACCGCTTTGCCCCAAAGCTTGTAATCCTGATGGTTCTGATTATTCTCAGTACTGTAATAGCCATTATTATCAATTGTTTTATTTAAATATGCATAAATGGAAGACCGTACAACTACTACAGCCAGGATGTGTACATTTTCTTTTTTTTTTTTTTTTTTTTTTTTTTGGATAATGCAATATTATTTTGCATTATGGTAATGAGAAAAAATATGAAGGCATCGTTTTCTTCATTAAATATTGGGGGAAATATGACCCCAATATGTGTGGCCGCATAATATTGGTACGTTTACTTTTTTTTTTAATTGACGTCTGTTCATTCCATTATAACTTTGGGGAAGTATCATGTGTTGTCAGTTTTTGGCTGACAAGGTCCTTTAAAGCAATAACTGAATTTCAATAGATTATATTGTGCCTTATAGAGCATTGCATCAAAGTCTGTAATTTGGGGGAAGTGTATTTATGGCATATTTCGAATGTATCATACATCTTGGTTACATATTACATATCTGAGCTTGAATATTTATTGGCTATTTTTCTCTTTTCCACTAGATTTTGTCCCGTTGTAGTCTTAACAGGCCAACAGCAGCCGGATCAATGAAGTCAACAATGAGTTTCTTAAAGGAGTAGTTCACTTTTAAAAAAAAACTTTTGCTGATAATTGACTCACCCCCATGTCATCCAAGATGTCCATGTCTTTCTTTCTTCAGTCGAAAAGAAATTAAGGTTTTTGATGAAAACATTCCAGGATTTTCTCCATATAATGGACTTCAATGGGGTCCAAACGGTTCAAGATCCAAAAGACAGTTTCAGTGCAAACTGCAAACTGTTCAAACGATTCCAGACGATGAATAAGGGTCTTATCAAGCGAAACGATCGCTCATTTAATGAATACAAAAAAAAGTTTACGTTTTATATGCTCAAATGCTCACCTTGCTCAGTTCTGTGATGCGCGTTCCTGTTCGAACTCGTTTATCAAAATGAACAAATCTTTTTTCGTGTCATTTGGTTCATTCAACGAACGAAATGAACGAATTGACTTGGCGAGCATATAAAGAGCTTATAAAACTTTAATTTTTTTTTTTTATTTATTAAATGAGCGATCGTTTCGCTTGATAAGACCCTTATTCATCGTCTGGAATCGTTTAAAGCCCTTTGAAGCTGCACTGAAACTCTCATTTGGACCTTGAACCGTTTGGACCCCATTGAAGTCCATTATATGGAGAAAATCCTGGAATATTTTCATCAAAAACCTTAATTTCTTTTCGACTGAAGAAAGAAAGACATGGACATCTTGGATGACATGGGGGTGAGTAAATTATCAGCAAAAGTTTTTTAAAGTGAACTACTCCTTTAAAAACTACAACAGGGAAAGTGAACACTACAAAAAGTCACTGTTATGAAGGTATTTAAAGATGGACAAATCAATAACCATAGTGCTTATGAAGGGACCTGAGAATCGTTCAGGTTGATGTTTGTAATTTTTCTTCAATAGGTACTTAAATTGAAATGTACGATTTTTATGAGATAAAATATTTTGTAACAGCTTCACAATTAATTAATTAACCTTTTACTCTGTTTACATCATATATGACCTGTGCTTCTGTGTTCCACCACATACTGTCAGAAGCCAGGCTTTATTTACTGTCAGAAGTTTTTACTATTAAAAAGAACATTTTCATAGCAAAAAAACACAAAAACATCTGTTTATTCTTCTCGTCTTGTGGTTTTTATAGCTGCCAAATGTGTATTTGCCATAACAAATTTGTAAGTGACAATAATATATTTTTAATGAACTTGAGACATAACTGCATCTTTCATAAACTTGAATGCATTGTAGTTGATAGACTGATTTTTTTTTTTTTTGCTCTTTTATTATTTTATGACACCATTAAACTCATTCTATTTTATGAATCATTATTTTTCATAATTCACCTAAGACAATAAAATTCCACTTTATCACTGGCTTTCTCTTAGTGGTTAATTAAAAAAAAGTTGTGTTGTGCATTCTCTTTGTTTGCCTGCTTTGGCCCTGTCCTAAATTTCACAGATCTCATTCCCCATTGACTACCATAGGAAAAAATACATACTATAGTAGTCAATGGGGATTGAGATCTGTTTGATTAAAACATTCTTCCAAATATCTTCCTTTGTGTTCAGCAGAAAAAATAAACACATAGAGGTTTGGGACAACATGAGGGTGAGTAAATACTGACAGAATTTTCATTTTTGGGTGAACCAACCCTTTAAGCTCTTCCTTCTTCCTTGTTCCTGCACTCTTTCATGAAAAGCTGGGGCGTTGTTTCACAGAAGAAAGGGTTATGGCTGTACAAAGATTAAATATTACACTGCTTATTATGTAATCATGGGTGTTTTATTAAGTATTTTTTACACTATAAGTTTCCTTATTTCACTTTAACTTTCCTCTATTATCTCTTGAAGCAACACTAAATTAAAAAGGGGTCTAGACAAAGAAAGAAAGGAGATGCCAGCAGGAAGTCTGAGAACATTTAATAAAAACATAACTGATCTATTTTCTCATGGTGCAAACATTGTTGCTTCATTCAAATGTGATTTCACTAAACATATAATGTAAAAGTTTTTTCAAAGAATTTGAAAAAAGTGAAAAGTACAAAAGAAAGATAAAAAATTATTTTAAAAAGTCAAATATAGATTCCATCAAGTTACTGTAAAATACAGTTTTGTACAATTAGGCTACAAATGCAGAGCATATTTTACAGCCACAAATAATACAGTATATTAACACTGTTGAGCAGATGAATTGGTATTAAAAACAACTACTTTTCAGATTATTCTCAATAAAGACTTTTATTAAAGCTGCTCTGTTTATACTTCAGTTTATAAAGTCTATTTCTTTCATGTGCAATAACTAAAATAATAAGTTTATAGCTATAAAAGGGTTTTATGACAAAATATTGGCTTCCACATGGGGGAAAAAATAGGATGCCCACTTAAATTATCTAACAAATGATATCCTTGGGTAGGCTAAATGTTATTTATTCAAGCTTCACATTACTCAAAAGGAAAACATGCACATATTGCAGTTAAGAAAAGACTGTTAGCTTGCGCTCTTATATTGCACAGCATTTAAAAGAGAAGGATTAGAGCCTGCAACCAGAGAGAGAGTGCCGTGGGAAATCAGCCTTACAAAAGATACAGGGCCGTAACCATCATAGACATTACTAGAAATGGCCAAATTGACCCGACCAATATTGGCCCTGTCCCAAATTACAGCCTAAGGCAAAGCACTCACGCTCTTACTATTGGATATGTATATGAGTCCAAACTTTTGTGACATAACACCACTTTGACTGTAGTCAAAAGTGCACATATCGAAAGGGGACGCAAGCGGACACCCTTCTAAAAACCTAAAATGACATATTAGTCCAGGCAAAATAGCCCATTTTGGAGCCAAAAATAGAACTAATTGTAAAAGAATTTTTTTCAGCATAGATCATTTCTATGAGGTGTCCAGAACAACATACTAAAAGTCCTAAGAAATCCTAGTTGAGGAAATATGTTTAATTCGCATCAATCCGAGATGTGTGCCAGTAAGGCCAGACAACAATACACCCCAATGGGGCTATTTTTTTCCTTTACTCCTATCAAAATAAAACTTTATACAATGAAAGTACCCATGAAAAGTAACAAATTTTGTATTACAAGTTTCTTTGAAAATGAATTTTATTATGCAAATGAGCTATACACTAATCGAATATGCCCAAAATACACCCAAATAGGCTTAATTTTTTCCTTTACTCCTACCACAATAAAACTTTACACAATGAAAGTCTACAAGAAAAGTAAAACATTTTGTATTAGAAGTTTCTTTGAAAATTAATTTGAATATGCAAATGAGCAATTTACTAATCGAATATGCCCAAAATACACCCTAATGGGCTTATTTTTTTCCCTTTACTCCTATAAAACTCACAATTAAACCTCACAGAACAATGACAGTGAAAGTATACATGAAAAGTATACGTAGTTAGCAGAGCCGGACAGTATCAGAGTACATTTACTTTAGTACAGTACTTAAGTACAATTTTGAGGGATCTGTACTTTACTCGAGGATCATTTTTGGGGAGTACTCTTGACTTTACTCAAGTACAATTGAGAGGGAAATATTGTACTATTTACTCCACTACATTTCTACCCATAATGGTGAGCACCCATTACTACTTCTAAAAAAAAAAATGAAAATAAGAAAAATCTCAGAAACCCTCAATTTGTTGTTTCCCTCTCAAACGTGATTGGATTGTGCAAGCGCCTAGGCTGGGTTTCCCCATGCTGTCTTGCCACAGCGCGATTTTATTCACGCTGCTAGGCAGCCTGGACACCATGAACCAAATTTTCGCCTGAGCTAGGGAACCAATCACAGAACGGGGAGGGAGTGGCAAGACGATGATGATGTCTATGCAACACCGCAGCAGTTTGTGTATCTCTATGGATCCATCTTGGCAGTGGATGCGAAGTTACCTTTTGATACAGTCTTTGTGTATACATACATACTGTAAAACTTAAAATAATAGCCCGGGCTCTTATTTTCCCAAATCATCGAACTGCACCGGCTTGTATTTGAGACAGGCGTCTATATGGAACCGGCCTTTATAATTTAGTGTTGAGATGTTGTTCAATGAGTCTATAATCTCTAAAAATCTCCAAATGCTCCACCTGAAACTGCGGTCTTCCAACCTTTTAGTATCGTGTCAATTGATTTGATTATGCGCGAAGGAGAGAGAGCAAGACAGCGCTCGAGTTGTTTGAAGACGTGAGAGTGTGCGCGTGTGTCCGGTGCGCTCTCTCTGCTCCTTATGTGTCCTATCAAGTGCAGCAGTTTCTATTCTACATCACTCACCGATCAAAATAGGCTTTGGCGGGACAAAAATTTGCTTTGGCAGACGCCAAAAAGCGGACGATCTGACGGTTTTAGAAGATTAACAACCCGAAACTAAAAAACAGACCTGGCCTCTATTTGAGACCGGCTTTTATTTACCCAAACCTGCAGCCACACCAGGCGTGTAAAAGAGACAGACTATTTGGGACTCGCTATTATTTGAAGTTTTACTTTAAATCTCCTAAATCTCTGACCCATCGTCTTTTTCCTCGTCTAATTTTCTGCCGTTCTACAAACGTCATCTGGTACCATTGACCCGATTGGCTATGAGCTACGTACAGACGCATTTGATAGACATTCGTAGCACCCAATAATATGGCTCCGGGCATTCATAAACCACCCCTCAAACACGAGAAAATGAACATGTGGTTTCAATGTTTCATTCTCAATGAGACGTGGTCTGATATCAGCAATCACCTTCAGCTTTCCGCCAAAGTCAACTCCATGGTCAGATTTAGATAAGAGACCAAACCATGGACGAAACAATGGATGGAGACGCAGCCGGCCCATCCCGGGAATGTGCCGACCCGTGGCCCCACCTATATTCTGAATAGTGACTGAAAAGTGACCCCGAACTCATCTCCAGAGGAACCTCAAACTCTCCCTCCAACATCAACATCTGCAAAGTTCCAGTCTTCGGGTCTTTAAACAAATGATGGTGTGGAAAGGGGGAAGTGAACGTACGGACCCAAAAGACGGGGGGTGGCATGTTTTGGATGGGGGAGTTTTGCCAATAATGACCGATCAGCCTGCGGCACCACCAGAAATACTAGATGTAGTCCGCTGTAGTTGCAAGAACGACTGTGGCACAAAGAGAAGAACATGCAAAAAACATGGACTCCCTTGCACTGCCATTTGCAGGGAATGTCGTGGTACTAGCTGCACAAACTCACAGTTGCCTGATTTATCTGATGAATATGACCCAGAGGGGAAGAACTAAGCAAAGAACAAACCGGGAACTGATTTGGGTATGCCAGAACCAAGAGCCACAGAGAAGGGGTCGAGGATAAAATAAAATGAGAGAAAACAAAAATTAAAAAACACCCAACCCTCCCCTGAGGCTTGTGTCCCTCTGTGACCCTGAAGACTATACCGGCGGGGGTTATACCCCTGACAGGTACTACCAAGCCAGGCAGTTTTCAGGTTAGAGGCCAGTCTAAAAGCAGCATTGCCATCACCCATTGGCAGTAGGATGATTGGATGAAGATTGGGCCGATTTGTCATACATATGAAGGGTGTTTCTGCCTATGCAAATTATGACATATTCAATAAGTGTAGAGCTCATGTGCATATTCAAATTAATTTCAAAAGAAACTTGTAATACAAAATAAGTTACTTTTCCTGTATACTTTTACTTTGTAAAGTTTTATTGTGGTAGGAATAAAGCAAAAAAATTAAGCCCATTTGGGTGTATTTTGGGCATATTCGATTAGTGTATAGCTCATTTGCATAATAAAATTCATTTTCAAAGAAACTTCTAATACAAAATGTTTTACTTTTCTTGTAGACTTTCATTGTGTAAAGTTTTATTGTGGTAGGAGTAAAGGAAAAAATTAAGCCTATTTGGGTGTATTTTGGGCATATTCGATTAGTGTATAGCTCATTTGCATAAAAAAATTCATTTTCAAAGAAACTTGTAATACAAAATGTGTTACTTTTCATGGATACTTTCATTGTATAAAGTTTTATTTTGATAGGAGTAAAGGAAAAAAATAGCCCCATTGGGGTGTATTGTTGTCCGGCCTTACTGGCACACATCTCGGATTGATGCGAATTAAACATATTTCCTCAACTAGGATTTCTTAGGACTTTTAGTATGTTGTTCTGGACACCTCATAGAAATGATCTATGCTGAAAAAAATTCTTTTACAATTAGTCTGTCGTAAAACGCGCCTGGACTATAAGTCCACAATGAAATTTGCCAATTGGGAAAGCTTTAGTTTTAAAGTGCCCATGAAATAAAAAAAAATTGGGTTTTTAGTATGAATATGTTAGCCTTACTGTTATGTAAGCTAGTGTGCTCCAAAACAATGACACAGTTTGCCTTTAGAAGATATAAGCTTTCAATTAAAGCAAGGATTCTGATTGGCTGTCAATGTTTTTATCCTTCTTCGTCTGGAAAAAAAAGTTCTGAAATTGATTCCAACAATACCATTTTTATGTCATTATCATTACTTTAATTTAATTAAATAAATAAAGGGGTATTGAAGACATGGTTACATGACAAGAGGCAGGACCTCCAGGTCGGCAGGGGGCGATAATGCGCCTTCAGGTTGTTTGACGATCGCCATTTGACGCTAGAAGAAGAGTTTGCTCCTGTAGTCCTAAAACAAAAATGGCAGCGCCAACGCCGGAGGATTTGCCGAGCACACACGTGGAGAAAAAGAGCAAGAAAAAGGTAAACATTACAAATCTCTGCTCTGGCTATAACAGTAGTCGCTTTTCACTAAGTTATGAAAAGTCTATAGACATAGTATAAATGTTTTTTGTTATATCGGATAGTCCAAGTAAAGGTAAGACGTTGTCATCATCGCAAAACACGTCGTTTCTTAATTTTCACGGCTTTATAATATTATACTCGACATTTCTTCTTGAGCTTTTGATAGAATGTAAGAGTAATTCTGTCGTTTGAAAAGTTACAGTGTTGATGGTATCATGTAGTAATTCATGGTAACGTTACTCTCTGATATAGTACTGATAAATACTCTAATATTATTTAAGTAAGATACAGCTCTTCTGTAATGAGCATGTTTTGAATTAATATTGATAGAAAACGTATTGAGTAATGAAGTTCTTGAAAACCGAATCTTAAGAACTTTGAAGTAGTTCATTATTCCCCAGAAAAAAACATCTTTAATAAAATATTGCTGCGTATTGATATTTGGAAACTTTTAATCCACTGAAATAAAAGCCACCAAAAAAATTGACAGAAAATACTGTCTGTATTATTTAGATTTTTTTTTTTTTTGGTTATACTTTATTTTAAGGTGTTTGTTACCATAACTGTGTGAGTAATAATAATTAATTTAGGGTTAGTTGCATGTAACTTAATTATTATGCATAATTCATAGATATTACATGTAATGTGTAACAAGGACACTGACAAATATAATATTACCAGTCATTTTCTTTATTACGGACAGTCTTATTTATTTCCCCTGCAAGGTGAATATTGTTTACCATTCAGGGACAGTTGTCATGGCCATCTGCGTTTGTTCCTGAATGAAAATGTAAAATAAAGAAAACATTTATGAATGTGTTTGTCTTTTCCTCACGCAGGTTATTGGGAAACGCTATTGGGAGGAAACAAAAAACACAGAGCAGAAGAAACCCGAGGAAGAACCGAGTAAAGATGTGCAGAACCAGAATAAAGCACCGGTAAAAGAAAGGTCATTAAAAAGGAAGAAAGGTGAAAGTGTCCAACCAGTGGTAAGAGTGTGCTTTTCCATTCACTGACTTTAGTTTACCAGTATGCTATGTGCTAATATGCTAATCAGATCAATGCTGCTACTCACGGCTTCAAATAGTGCACACTCAACTCCCAAAACATTTATGGGTGTGAGTTATAAAGAAGTTTATCAAATAAAGATGAAAAATGTTATATCTCATATCTTTTTTTTTATTATTACCATGTCCACACAGACACGTTTCAGCCTAAGCCATCGTCAGTGTGTGCATCGTCTACCCACAGCTTGACAATAACTTTTTTGTTTAGCAGTCACTGTGGCTTGTGGTTTTCCAAAGTATGGGTAAAAACTGCCATAAAGATATTTTCAATATTATCTCATAATTTGGCAACCGGTTTATTAGGCTGCTATCACTTTAAGACCTATAATACTGTTACACATGTGTTCTATTTCTCAATTCACATTAATTTGTATAGCGTTTTTTCACAATACATGTTCTTTTCTTAGGACAACTTTGATGAACTTTTCTGATCCACTTCAAATGTTGACTACTGTACGAAGTGAAATATTTCAAGCCTTTATTTGTTATAATTTTGATGATATTTTGATGTATTTTGACTATATTTGTCAGTGTCCTACTATTTTTATTATTTTTGTTTTTCTTTTTCACGTTATAATTGTATTGTGTGACTTATTTTTAGATAAAATGTACTGCAAATTATTATGTTTTTTTTTGTTTCTCAAAGGATAAATTATGATATTTTGTAAAGAGAAAACAGTAGCCATTTCAAATCTAGATTATATAATATATATAAGTTAGCTTCTTCCTTCTCTTTTTTCCCCTATATTCTTTTTATTCTCTTTTGCTGAGATTTTGTGTTTATGATTTTTTTGTTTAAATATGCTCTGTTATCAATGACCATGTTCTGAAGAGGAAAAGGAAATGAAAAGAAATAAATTATTCATTAATTCATGATTATAGCTTACACATATGAAACCCCCAAATTCAAAATTAGAATATTGTGAAAAGATTTTCATATCTGTAATCCATAATCATCAACATTATAACAAATAAAGGCTTGAAATATCTCACTTTGCATGTAATGAGTCTATATAATATATTAGTTGCACCTTTTAAGTTGAATTACTGAAATAAATGAACTTTTGTATGATATTTTCAATTTTTTGAGGTTCACCTGTATATTCTGCTTCGTTGAAGAAAGTCACTATAAAGGGGTGCCTTGATTTCAAAACATTTGAGAACAACTGCTTTAAGCATGAAATGTGCTTATTTTGGTTCTCGAATAATGATTTAACAATTGCCAACGTCCTATTTTAATCACACCCTGAGTAGTTTGAACTTCACCTTTGGCTTCCTGCACCTAGAAGTGTTTGCTTCAATTACGTCCTAATTCGAACAGTCAAAAAGTCAATGTTTCAGCAGCCCTTCTCATCGGATCATATTGTGTATTTAGAAAGAGGACCCTTTTCCTGGCCAGGCTCCGATACCAACAGAACGGCTCCAGAAGTTTCGGAGAGGAGAGAAACACAAAACGGTGAGTCCCGACTTATACTTATACTTGTGACTAGGTCACTTTAGTGGAAAAATCCTGTTTGATTTTTGAAACATAAGTGTTCAATGAATCGATTTTCCATGTCTAAAGACCATGTATTACAACACCAAATATTACATTGGTTTTGCACTGAAAAAAATAATATGCTTTATCTAATCAATACAATTGTGGCAACATATTACAAGCAGTATTATTCATTAAATTGTACAAATTAGAATTAATTAGAATGTTAATTTGATTAACTATTACTCAATTCTAATTTGTTCAATTTAATAAATAATATTGCTTGTAATCTGTTGCCAAAATTTTATTAACATTTTAATGACAAATTCAGTTAGTACCACTGTAGTTGAGCTCACGAAAAATATTCATGACACAGTTATAATGCCTCATGACAGCCAATGTCAAAGCCAACCAGCTGACAGTTTAATGTAATGTTAACCAATAAAGCTAGGTGGTTTCTTAAGTTTGATCATTAATCTGCTATGTCATATTTATGACAGGTTGTGTTGTCTTAGCAATGTCAAGTTGTCATGGCAAAGACACTGACAGGTTATGATGTATTGGTTTATGTTAAGGTGTCATGACAAAGACATCTCAAACAATGTCATATTTGCATTAAAAATGTCATAACTGAGCGAATTACACTTAATGACATTTGTTATTGTGGATTTAATTTAGAGCTGTTAAACGATTAATCGCGATTAATCGCATCCAAAATAAAAGTTTGGTTTGCATAATATATGTGGGTGCACTGTGTGTAATTATTTGATATATATATATATATATATATTATATACACAACATGCTTGTATATTTTTAAGAAATATTTTCATGTGTATACTGTATATAGATTTATTTATAATTTTTATTATATATAAATATCAATATTTTATATATAAATAATATTTTTTTCTAAAATATACATGCATCTGTGTGTATTTTTTATATATATATATATACACAAAATAATTATACACAGTGCACCCACATATATTATGTAAACACAAACTTTTATTTTGGATGCGAATAATCGCGATTAATCATTTGACAGCCCTAATTTAATTGTATGGTCCAATATATCGGTTATCGGCTTTTAAATATAAAGAATTATCGGTTACCGTTATCGGCCAAAATGTTCATATCGGTGCATCCCTAATAAGGAGTGTATGTTGTGTGTTCACGCTCTTCCTCTCTGTGGTGTGTCAGCCCGCAGGAGCCAGGAGAAAGCTGAAAGAGGCCATTGTGTTCTCGGAGTCCGTGTCTGAACTCGCTCAGAAACAGGCCGCACGATACGATCTCCTACTTCCAGAGGATGCTGGGTAATGTAGTTCACACATTGTGCCGGATGAAAAGAAGAATGACACCGACAAACACCCACATGATCTCATTCCTAAATGACAACGATTCAGCCATGTCTATTAAAAATACAGTCCTTTCAGTATCCTTACAAATATTAAAATTATAATGGATGTACTGGGATAAAAGTTCATAGTTTGGATATAAACACGCAATCAAAATAGAGCAAATCACCCTTTGAAAGTAACTTGGATATTCAGATTACGATTGTGTCGTAAATCATTATTTGTCATTCAAGAATTCGTTCAGAAATGCGGATTCATCCGGTAATAAAACAAGTGAAGCATTAACGAGTGAGTCATTGAATCATTCATTCAACCCAATTTTTTTTAAAACGTTATACTTAGTACATTATTTTACGTTATTTTGTTTGGTTGTCTGTTCAGAATCGTGATCCGTGTTTGAAACAAAGAAATCGTAAATTTCAATTAATCCAGTGGCATCAAACTAATAATATAATCTTTTTCAGTTTTTAAAAATTTCATTAAGTCGCCCTGTGATAAATTCAGCTTTTAATGTTGTGTATATGTGGAGTGGAGGCGGGGCTAATTTGCATATTCATAGAACCGCGAATGCTAAATGATGCAAGGGTGTCGATTTACATTCAATATATTTCAAGGCATGACGATTTTTTTCAAGGAAAAGACTTTTAAATATGTTATTTTGGTGATCAAAGATGAGTTTAAAGGGATAAAATGATTGTTTAAGATGATTGGCCAGTAGGTGGCGATATGCACAAACAATGTTAATCGCCATTAAACAACAGTGCTGGAACCAATAACCATGAGAGATTCGGTTTAATCAACCAAGAGTTTATGGGATTTATGTGAGTGTAAGTTGACCTTGCTTTCTGTAGTTTCCCCCAGTAGTAGAGAGGTTA